TTTCGGTGTCATTCAGTCGTGCAGTCGTTTCGTTGACACTTCGGCCAAGAATTATGTGAGTCTTTCTCAGCGAATAAGTGGTGGTATTATTGGATAAAAAGCATCCCTTAGTTATCTGTCGAGCTATAAAAATGGATATAATAAAAGTGCGATAAAAATGAGCATCTAACTATTTGATAGCCTTTTATGTCTACTCTACCCTCGGTATCACAGCTCCCAGAAGTTCACTAAAAACTTCGTGAACTACTAAATAAATGTTTGATATGTTTGTATATCAATACCTTTTTGAATGGTTGCAAAATAAATCAAAGTTGCATTGCTATCGAGAATTTCAAATTTGGTCACGTTATCAAAGAAATGGTGCGGATTATGAACCGCTGGACTCATGAGTACTATCGGCGTCTCCACACAATCCTCATTACATTCAATACTATTATCACTTTCGCTGCAATCATAGCCTCGAGTTTGAAATTCTTGTGAAATTGTGTTTTGAATTTCTTGTTTTGTTTTCAGCAATTGAGTCAATAGTTTGGGATCACTGCCATTAACCCACGTATAGACGACATCGATTGGAAAGTCATAACACGAGTGGTATTCCTCTGCAGCTGTGATTGAATTGCTTTTATGATTCCATATCAAGAATATCTACATTTTCAATGAGAATCCAAATGTACAGAAATCAGTGGAAAAGTTCAGTTAATTAAGTGAAGTTCATGTGATGTGCAGATAAGTGTATGTGGTTTGCAATGATTTGCAAAACTATAAACGCATACAAGAATTATAGCATCAAATGTCTCATCCGTTTGGCACTAAATTAAGTAAAAGGCATTGAATTATATGGGGAACCAATGATTACCTCAAATACATGGAGTATAGCAATAAATGTCATGCAAAAGAAGGCAAAACATAATAATAAGGAGTTTTTATTGGCAAACAAATCATAAAGTCTTCGTTGAAATATTTTACATAAAAATATTCGCAATTTTTGTCGCATTTTTGTGCCAAAAAATCACACTTATTGCTGAATGAACTCATTTTGAATGATTAACACTAAGTTTGTCCTCAAGTTTAGAGTATTATTTAATCAGTAATACGTTTTTCACTGATAAATATATAAGTTATGAGTACATACAGAACAGTACTGTTTATATGTGATATGATATGATGATAGGTAGTGACCAATTACCACATCAACCACTTCTTAGACTTCAAAACTCATGTATCTCTTCATTACTCGATACTAATCTTATCACAAAACTAATGATTAGTCAAAGAATAGATACTTCTTATCTCTTATAACTTAGTATTAAATATCGACACAAAGATGTTATTTCACTAAACAATTCAATCAAACAATAATTATTTGAAGATAAGGATACCTTTCAATGAACTCTTAAGTGAATTAAACGGGACTTTACTGTTGTTGCTGTGATCAGGGTGATCAGGGATAATTATTGTATAGAATCTCACCAATTATCGGATGCTTACAAATAAAGTAATTCTTTATATCGTCTACGAATAGATGGTTTCAAATGTAGGAATCAATAATTGGTACAAAATATATGGAGTTTTAAATGTTTTTTGTATATTTATTGCAAGAAGTTATACATCAAATACAAATGAGAGAGGAATCACAAAAAGACTGCATTTTTGAATGTTTTTTCAATATAATGATCACACGATTCTTTACAATTGATTTAATGTCTGTTTTGTTGTCTTTAGTGGTGTTTAGGGTAACATTTAAGCATGAGATTAAAAATTTATTTGTTTTTGTTTTTTAATACAATTATATAATTTGTGTTGTGATCGTTTGTGTGGACTTTTTAATTTGTTTTTAAATAATTATTTGTTTTGTAAATAGAAATACATTTTTTGATAATAGAATTAATGATAGTTTAATATAAGATATACAATAGACTACAATAGAGTTGCAATTAATTTTTACAATAGATTTTGGAGAAAAACATACAGAGATTGAATTTATATATATTTATAACAACACTATTATAAAATGAAATTAAAAACCCAATTTTCATCATTATAATAATTATATCTAAATATAATATACTGTGTGTTAGTCTTGAAGCTGACTATCAAATACCCCTTCAGTAATCAAATCATAAATCAATTGTATTTTGTCTTTAGCTCTACGATTAGATATATTTTTTCAAATAAGTATAACAACAAAAACTTATTTATAATATAATTAATGTTTAATTATAAAACACAAGAATAGAGATCACTTGGAATGTTAGTAATATTGACAATAATTTTTTCGATTTGTATTTTTCAATTTATTTTATGAACAATTATATCAATTAGTTTTAGTCTTAATTATCATTTTGTTAAAAATTAAAAGCTATGAATGAAATTAATTTTTCACTTTTATATTATACTTTATATATTTGATTCAACAGAAGAGAAATGTATTTTAAAAACTAAAATATATTCTTAACTCTGAACTAAACTTTGTGTAGGAATTCCTTCTAATGCTTAACACAACAAGTGCTCAATCAATAGGATTTAATCGATCAAATCACTCCATAATCAATCAATAAGTGGTCGGTCCTTATGATACAAATCCATAACATAAGAGAGTTAAGTTAACCCTAAAATCTGGTGGTTTGCAGTCATTCAAAATTATCAATTTCTTGTCATAAGTAAATAATGGCTATTTTTAGTAAATGGTATACAATTT